CCTACGACCAGGATGTACTAGGCCGCTGGTGCTCGCCAGTTCACCAAAAGATACTGCGGGCAAGTGGGCACTAGTACTGGCACTCTGCTGCATATGTGAGAGTCATCATGCATTTTGTACCACCTCAGCAATCTGTGAATGGGATCGGGTACGCCTGACCTTAGCAGGGACCACTTCCTCGTCGTCTGAGCTAGCTGTCAGGGTGCCGCTGCTGTCTATAGGTTCGTATTCTGAGCTGGTTTCTCGCCAGCGAGTCTTCCCTTCGCTCTCAACTTGACATGCTCAGAATCCTATAGGCCTCTGCATAGTGTACCTTTGCTTAGACATTTTGGCCACTAAAATTTACAGGTACCTAGTGCGACTCACGGGAAAAGAGCGCCTGGCTGTCAGGGACTGCTTGAACCGCTACAAAAAATTACCGACAAGTGCTAACAGATATCAGGCCTGATTCTGTGAACACTGCGGTTTTGTGTGTAATATGTATCAAGTGACAGTTATCTACTGACACTGCACTTGCTGGGGGAGAAGGGGGGGGGCGTAGGGGCTAAACGCAGGTGCTGGCAGGTGTTGGGGCTGATCCCGCTAACACTGCGTTTTTGGGGATACTAAAGTAATGTGAATGCTGGTATAGCGCTGATCTGATCAAAGATATTGATCCAATCAGACACTATACTAGCAATGAAGGTTTAGCGTGCAAGTAAGCGTGTTCCTGGCAATCAAGGGGTCAAATGTGATTATTTGTGTACTAGCGGACAAACTGGTGCTATCTGGGAGGGGCGCTAAAACTATCGGAAGTGAAGTGGTTAACTGGAGGGGGGGGCGATCAAGGTTTAGACGGGACTACTGGTGTATTAGTGGGCAATCTGGCGCTATCTGGGAGGGGCGCTAACACTATCGGAAGTCGCCAGCGACACTGATACAGTGATCAGTAAAAATCGCTTCACTGATCAGTGACACTGGTGACAGGGCAGTTAAGGGTTAACTGGGGGGGGGATTTAAGGGGTTAAATGGCTTTATTGGTGTACTGGCGGGCAAACTGGCGCTATCTGGGAGGGGCGCTAGCACTATTGGAAGTCGCCAGCGACACTGATACAGTGATCAATAAAAATCGCTTCACTGATCAGTTACAACTGGTGACAGGGCAGTGAAGGGTTAACTGGGGGGGGGGGGGGGGGCAATCAGGGGGTTAAATATGTCCTAGACTGTGTTCTGTCAGTGTGTAGTGTTTTACTCACGTTTAAATGTCTCTTCTTCTCCGTCTGGAACAGAATGTGTCCAGGCAGAGAAGAATGACATCATATCCTGTCTTGTGTAAATATCAACACAGGACAGGATAGGACAGGGACCGATCATCCGATTTCAGCCAGAAATCATCACTGGCTGAAATCTAATGATTGATCCCTCCTGGATCGAATCGGATCACCCGCGGGTCGGCAGGAGCGCGCGCAGCGCCCCCCTGCCGGCGAAAGTGTCGGGAGCGCGGAACCCGTTTTTAAAACGTGGTTTTTGCGCTCCACTGCCGCCCTGCACACGTATATACACAGTGGCAGGGCGGCAAGCGGTTTAAATCAAATCCACCCTGCCTGTCTGTATGCACTGCTCCCTCACTGCACACACTTCCCCTCTACAAAGAGGACCTGTCATTTATATACTATCACATAGGGTACTATTGGTCCCCTATGTGATAGCAATAAAATCGTACGTTTAAAAGAAATAAATAAAAACACACATTGAAAGTAAAACAAATGTGAGCCCCCCAACCCCCACATACAATTCAGTTTTGGCGTTCAGCCAAGTGCATCCTGAATGTTCAGTTTTGGCACACCACCACTAACTTGAAATCTCTTCTATACTATATAGTCAGCAAGCACCATCAGGCTTGTTGAAGACACATGCTCTTGGCTTGTCATCCTTGGGCTGGCTTCAGTCAGGACGGGGCCCAGACGTTGATGGAAAGCATGCCAGAGCAGATTGCAGAGGTCTTAAAGAAGAAGGGTCAACACTGCAAACATTGACTCTGCATAAACGTCATGTAATTGTCAATAAAAGCCTTTGACACTTATGAAATGCTTGTAATTATACTTCAAGAGATTCTAAAGGTTAATTTTTTTTTTGTAACATAACAACCATGTCTATACTTGCTGTTGTTTTGCACAGAGCAGCCTGGATCCTCCTCTTCTCGGGTCCCCCGCAGGCTCCCCTGGCTCCTTCTATCTGTCGGGTGCCCCCATAGCAAGCAGCTTGCTATGGGGGCACCCGCTGCTCTCTGTGTCCATTCACACATGGAGCCGTGGCTTGGCCCAGCCCCTTCTTTCCTCATTGGCTGACTGACTGTGATACACAGCAGCGGAAGCCAATGGCTCCCGCTTGCTGTCTCAGCCAATGAGGCGGCAGAGACCTGGGACAGCCACGGCTGTCATTCACATCTCTGGATTGCGATGAGGCTCAGGTAATATTGGGGAGCTGGGGGCACTACTGCACACAGGTTTTTTGGCCTTCATGCATAGAATACATAAAGGTAATAAACCTTCAGCCTTTCCAACCACTTTCAGTATTCCATAGTGACATCTGACAAAAGGGTCTAAAAAACAGAAGCGGCAGACTTTGTGAAAATTAAGATTTGTGTCATTCTCAAAACTTGTGGCCAGGGCTGTAGGTCTCTCTGGGGATCAGATCCTTGTAGCACATCTGTGCATTGCGTGGGGGCGGGAACGTCTTGCCTAGACGAGAAGGGCAGAAATTTAGCTTTGCACAACAATAAAGTCCTTTAACAACTTGCCTACCGGGCACTTATACCCCCCTTCCTGCCCAGGCTAATTTGCAGCTTTCAGCGCTGTCACACTTTGAATGACAATTGCGCGGTCATGCAACACTGTACCCATATGAATTTTTTATCATTTTTTTCAGAGAAATAGAGCTTTATTCTGGTGGTATTTAATCGCCAATGGGGGTTTTATTTTTTGCACTATAAACAAAAAAAAAAAAAAAAGCAAAAATTTGCTTCTACTATAAAAATTTTGCAAACAGGTAATTTTTTCTCCTTCACTGATGTGCGTTGATGAGGCTGCACTGATAGACGACACTGACTGGTGGCACTGATCATCACTGTCAATCTGCTCTGTAACAGCTGCCGGCAGTACTTTTGCTTACGCTGTGAGTGTAAGTGCTACTGATAACCGGCAACTGTCATTGGACACCGCTGGTCACATGGTAAAAGGCCGCTGTGATTGGCCTTTTACCTCATCATGTGATTAGCTGTGTACGTAGGAGATCGCCGGGAGGCACATTCTGGAAGGACATCATATGATGCCTTCCCAGAACTGGACAACCGTGCTGTAACCATCATTCGGCTATAGCGTGGTTTCCAAGTGGTTAAAAAATGTCAATTGCTAAGAGAGGGGGGAGGGGAGGCAGAGCCAGTGCTAGACTATTATGCGCCCTAGGTAAGACCAGCTACATGCACCCCCCCCCCCCTTAAAAATATATATATATATATATATATATATACACACACACAACTTCACCCCTCCTAGCATAAATCCCCCCTCCCATCATCACTCCTCTTCCTTAATCCCCCACCTAGGACAAATCCCCCCTCCCATCATCACTCCTCTTCCTTTAATCCCCCCACCTAGACAAATCCCCCCTCCCATCATCACTCCTCTTCCTTTAATCCCCCCCCACCTAGGACAAATCCCCCCTCCCATCATCACTCCCCTTCCTTTAACCCCCCCACCTAGAACAAATCCCCCCTCCCATCACTCCTCTTCCTTTAATCCCCCCACCTAGGACAAATCCCCCCTACCATCATCACTCCTCTTGCTTTAATCCCCCCCACATAGGACAAATCACCCCTCACATCATCACTCCCTCTTCCGTTAATCCCCCCACCTAGGACAAATCCCCCTTCCCATCATCACTCCTCTTCCTTTAATCCCCCCACCTAAGACAACCCCCCCCCAATCCCCCCTCATCACTCCTTCCTTTAATGCCCCCACCTAGGACAAATTCCCCCCAATCCCCCCTCCCATCAATCCCCCCACCTAGGACAAATTCCCCCAATCCCCCTCACATCATCACTCCTTCCTTTAACCCCCCCACCTAGGACAAATTCCCCCCAATCCCCCCTCCCATCATCACTCCTTCCATTAATCCCCCCACCTAGGACAAATTCCCCCCAATCCCCCCTCCCATCATCACTCCTTCCATTAACCCCCCCCCCCCCCCCCCCCCCCCACCTAGGACAAATTCCCCCCAATCCCCCCTCCCATCATCACTCCTTCCATTAAACTCCCCCCCCCCCCCCCCCCCCCACCTAGGACAAATTTCCCCCAATCCCCCCTCCCATCATCACTCCTTCCATTAACCCCCCCCCCCACCTAGGACAAATTCCCCCCAAACCCCCTCCCATCATCACTCCTTCCATTAATACCCCCACAAAGGACAAATTCCCCCCAATCCCCCCTCCCATAATCACTCATGTTCCTTTAATCCCCCCACCTAGGACAAATTCCCCCAATCCCCCCTCATCACTCCTGTTCCTTTAATCCCCCCCAATCCCTCCCTCTAGGTAAACCCCCTCCAAATTACCCTTCCCAGCATATGCTCCTCCCACCTTACTCCAATCCCCAGCCCCCCCCTAGATCCGGCCCTGGTGTAGAGGAGGTGAACCAGTGGCCGTGGCTGCGCCCCTAGCCGGCTGCCTGATCTTCCTAGAGGTATCACCGGCCCTGAGGACAGGACGTCACAGTCCGGGTGAAGGTTCAGCTTTAAGGTCACCGTGTGGCCATGAAGGGGTTTAAGTGCATACGGCCCATCAGCACCACACACAGGACGATTCCACAACTACATCCGATCCCCCGAGCCCTGTCCTGAGGGGGGGGGGGTGTCTCCTCCTCCGGGGATCGCACACAGAAGTCGGGAGAAGTTCAGTCCCGGACCGCCCAGTCACTCTATGCTCCTGAGGCCCGCACAGTCCCCCCGGCACTCTCTGCCATTACCTGCCGGCCCTCTGTTCAGCCGGATCTCCTCCACGGCGGCCCGGGCTCCGGCACTCATGTCTTCTCCTTCCTCCTCTGCTGTCCCCGGAGGATGTCACTGCACACCAGGGTGAAGGTGAACCCGGCCACTCACTTTCTGTTTCTGCAGCCAGGCGGCCCCCACGTGGGGGGAGGGAGCGGCGCACTGCAGCATGGGACTTGTAGTCCTCTGCTGACGTCACGCCTCCAGTCCTCGCCCTGCTGTGAGGGAGGGAGATAAAAGGAGACAAATGAGGAGAGCTGTGTGTGATCACAGGAGAAGGATAGGCTACAAAACAAAACGCATGTTGAAGTGGTTCCAAAGGCTTGGTGCTTTTTGTTTTGTATCTTAACCACTTCCTGTCCGGACACTTTCACCCCCTTCCTGTCCAGGGCAATTTTCAGCTTTCAGCGCTATCACACTTTGAATGATAATTGCGCGGTCATGCAATACTGTACCCATATTAATTTTTTACCATTTTTTTGAGACAGATAAAGCTTTATTTTGCTGGTATTTATTCACCGCTGGGATTTTTATTTTTTTTTTACTATGTAAATGAAAAAGTCCAAAAATTTTGAAAAAATAATTTTTTTTTTATAAAATTTTGCAAATAAATAATATTTCATCATAAATCTTGGCCAAAATTTATTCCGTTATTTTTTTAGTAAAAAAAAAAAATCCAAATTAGTTTTATAACCAAAATTTTTTTTTTTTTTTTTTTACACTGATTGCTTTTACACCCTTAAAGGGTGTAAAAAGCAATCATTTCTCTTTCTCTCTGTCTGCATTCTTGCAGTCATTGAGAAATATACTGAGTGAGCTGTGATTGGTCACAGCTTGTCACATGGTACAAGGCTGTTGTGAATAGCCTTGTACCATGTGACCTCTGTGATCATTCACAGATTTCACACGTAGTAAGCAATGATGTCACAAGTGACATCTTGCTTACTACTTTGCATGTGATCACTGATTCGCCAATCAGTGATCACATGATCGGGACCTCGTACAGAGGTCCCATCCGACGATCGGTGTTTCACTGTGTCCGGAGGACACAGCGGGCATCGGATCGCGGTGCTGCGCGCTCCCAGGGACCGATCTTGTGCTCCGAGGATCGGCTGATTCACTAACTATATCTTCACTGTTCTCACCCCTAGACAAAAGGGAGCAGTTCACTCAGCAGTGTGGGCACAGACCCATTGCATGGTTCCAAAAACATTTTTTGCCTGGATTTCTGCTTTAAATTAGAACTATAGGCAAAACTTTTTTTTCATTTTGGATAGAGCAAGGGAGGGTTATATCTCCTGTCAGATTTTTTTTCAGCATCTGTGTCCCATTGGGGAGATTTACCTTCACTTCCTGTCCCAAAGCCAAACAGGAAGTGAGAGGAAATTCCTGCAAATTAAGGGAATTCCTTGGGGACCCCAAATCACCAGTCTCCATTGGAAGATTTCCTCTCTATTACTTTTCTGGGGACAACCCAAAATTTGGCATTTTCTTTTACTTTCACTTTCAATGATAATGGTAACCAGGACAAGTAGGGTGAATCTCCCTAATGGGGGCATAGATTGCAATAACAACTGACAGGGGTTCTAATGCCTCTCCACTCTGTCCAAAACTAAAAAAAAGTGTTGCCTTTAGTTATACTTTGATGCATTCCCTGCGTTAGCGTGGTAGTAAAGTCTAATTAGAAAAAAAAAAACAGTCCCCCTACAAGCTCAAGGATAATTCACCTTTCATATTATGTTACATCCAAACTCCGGGTGTAACGTACCATATTATGAATAGACCGACCCCCACTTTGACAGCTTGCAGGGGATCTTCTCCTCCCCCTAGATCAGGGGCGTCCCTAGGCACAGTGCAGGGGGTGCGCGCCGCGCCGGGTGACACCAGACCCACTCCACGAAAAGGAACGTTTTAACCTCCCTAGCAGAATGATTATGTCAGTATTTCTGTGCTCAAAGCGGTACATTTTTTTTTAATGTAAATATGTTTTTTTATTGTAGGCCTGTAATTCTTAAGAATAGCTCACTGAAATCTGTCCGAACAAGAGTCTAGTAGACATTCCGGTGCGATAAAGTTTATCCTCCCTGGAGGTATTCCCGAGTGTAGCTCGGGGGAAAGTTTCAGCACCACAAGCGGTAACCCTGAGCTACACTCAGGAATACCTTGCAGCGCTGCTTCGGGATCCCTTCTGCACTTACCTTGTCCTGCGCTCACGCAATGTCCCCCCTGCAGTGTCCCCGGCAATGTCCTCCTGCCGATGCCAGCATCTGTCTTCTGGGTTCCATTCCCTGTGACATCAGGACGTAACTGACGGGAAATGTAAAAATGTTAAGTAACATTCACTAAATACACTAAAATCACATAGTAAAACATTACTGTATCAAACCATTTCACATACATTTTGTCCCGAGTGCTTTGTCCTGTGCCCTGCCTGCATTTTTACTGTTCTTTCTGCCTGGAAACTGAGAAATGTCCATGGCGTCCAAAAAGCGTCCCTTTAGGTCAAAAGCGGTTTTAGACCAGCTAGAGAACAGCGATAGTAAATTAGAACCACTTGCAGAATTGAGTGATAATGATTTGTGGGGAAATTCGTCATCAGACACTGAAAACGATTCTGCGACTGAGCTCAGTGATGTGCAAACTTGGCGCTCTATTTCAAATTTCAGTGTTTTTGGTTTGATTACATTATTGAATTCAATTTATTATTATATTATTATTTTTTATGATTATTTATTAAATTATAATTTATGATTTTGTTTTTCAAATGAATTACAGGCCTACAATAAAAAAACTACATATTTCCATGCAAAAAAATGTACCGCTTTGAGCACAGAATTACTGACATAATCATACCGCTAGGGAGGTTAATACATTAAATCATAAATTATAATATAATAAATTATTATAAAAATAATAATAAATTAAATAATGTAATCAAATCAAACACAGAACTCTGTCTAAACAATATTATATAGACACTGCATTTTTTTCTAGAAAACATCCCGGGTGTGGTACATCTTGAAACACGGGGCTGCATAAAGTCCGACATCGCAATCAGGACAGTAAAACCTTGTTTCTTTGGGGATTTTTTTTTCCACTCTCATCTCGCCGAGAGCAACATAGCACACACATGCGTGTAGGTGCTGCCTTTTTTTGGGTTGGTGGGATGTGGTCCATAAAGTGACGTCCAGTCAGGCGTTCTGGGTTGACAACTCCCACAGCACGTCGTCCAGAACTATCTACAGACATTGATGGCGTTTGGTGTTTGAGGAAGATAAATTCCGCAACTTTCCAAATAAAGTCCACATGAAGCACAGGCTTGTCACTGTTTTTGCGGAACAGAATGTAGGCATTCCACAAGCACTGTTCCAGAAGATGCTGGAAAATCTTTTTGTAGTATTTCCTCTGCTGTTTTCTCATTGCTGGATAGAAAGTCATAGCTTGGTCAGCTCTGTCAACACCTCCCATGGTGCTATTGTAGTCAATAACTATCTGCGTCTTCTGAATGTTTTTCCCACCTTTTGATTGTACCATCACTGTGGAGACATTGTGAATGGTACTCATTATGCACACATCCTTTTTGTCCCACCATCTCAGTGCCATCATTTTGCCTATCTGCCAGGCAACTATTTCTCTAGGCTTCAGTTTGCTTTTTCCAAACATTGATGGCAGGTTGCGCCAGTTAGCCCTAACGGTTCCATAGGCATCCGTTTTGTGCTGCAGAAGAACCTCGTAAAGTTCTGGAGAGGTGTAGAAATTGTCCGTTGTTACACAGTAACCTTGGTTTAGCAGAGGCTCAATTAGTGACAGGATGGAAGATGTTGCCATTCCATAGTTGCTGTACTTAGGATCAAATTTTGTTCCTTTGCTGGTGTAAATAATTGTGTTCCATATGTAGCCAGTAGAGGATTGGCACAGCAGGTAGGATTTGACACCAAATCGTGCTCTCTTGGATGCGATGTACTGTACCCAGCTGAGCCTTCCTTTGTAGGCCATTAGACTTTCGTCTATGCTGATGTCTCTCTCTGGCACATAGTGCTGCTGGAAATTCCTGAGAATTATTTGTGAGACTTCCCAAATTTTCTTTAGCTTGGAAGCCGGATGAGTTGATTTGTCAAAATCATCATTGTTTGCAAAGTGCAAAAATTTCATGATGAGTAAAAAGCAGTACTCCCACATGACTGTGCCAAAGCACGGCGTGGGAAGCATTTTGTTGGTGGTCCAATACCACTTCTGCAGAGGTTTCCCCACCACTCCTTGTAGAATAATTAGGCCAAGAAACAGCCAAGTGTCCTCTTTGTTCACAGGTTCCCACTTTCTACTTCATGAAAACCTGCTGTATGAAGCAGCTAATTGTTGCTCTGTGTACCTGTTTGTCTCCGTCACCATTATTCCAATAACCTCATCGGTCAGAAACAATTCTAAGTACACCACGGGGTTGTCACCTTCAACATGGAATTTCATACCAGGTGCGCTGGTAAACGGGAATCTTGGCAGCGATGGCGTACCGCAATCAGTAGTGCACCATGTTCGCAGATCACTCACGTCAATCTCAGATTCGGCTCTGTCTTCACTGTTGGTGTCTGAAGAAAAATCTCCACATGAGTCACTGTCGCTCAATTCAAGTAGCTCCTCACTGTCGCTGTTTGCTAGCTCATCAAAAACAGCTTTGGCACTAGAGAGACGCTTTTTGGAAGCCATGAGTGCAAAACCGTTTTTAGTCACAGAAACTGAAAAACTGCACTATGGATATATCTGAGGTAATGTTACAATGTATTCACTAGAGTAACACTTTATTTTTACACAGGTCTCATAAGTGCACTACAAGCTGGTGCGGTGGTGAGCACAAGTATTGTCCCACCAAGAATTCATACACAGGCCCGTAGAGCCCCTAGTATCCTTCAGGATGTGCTTGCAAATCCCGATTGGCAGCCCACAAATTCTGCAGCACCCATACTTCCCTCCATTCACTGCCCAATCCGGAATTCAGGTAGAAACAGCAAATTTAATTACTCCCCTTGATTTTTTTGGATTTG